GCCCCTGTAAGCCACTCAACTCGGTCATAGTGTAATCGGCCTGTTTGACCTAGATGAGTGCAAGGCAGTTTGGGTGCACACGAGTTGAATACTTAAGATACCTACTAACACTCAGTAGGTCGACCTATAAATGAAAGAACCTACTATGATTTTCATCCGGTAGCTTAGTATAAACGCAATAGTGAGACCACGATTAGATATGGATAAGAGTGAACGCAAGAATAAACCTTGAGCAGTCCTTGGACAACAAGTCTGTACCTTTGGGCTGTTCTTGGGCACCACAACACATAAGTAATTGGGCACCAAGGTACTCACCCTATGTAAAAGGATAAGGTATAATTGAAATATTCTCTCTTTGATACGTCAATATTCTAGATATTATTTACCATATTCTTCCCCGTTCCCGCCATTTACTTGAACCTCAGAGTGCTCACGTCAGGACCTCTTTTTCACCCTTATTTTGCAGGTTACCAACTCTACTTAGACGGTTGGAGACTTCTAATCACCAGTTCATGTAGTCTGATGCATCATCAGCTTTTAAAATATATTTGTAAATTAAAATTTTAAGTGTTTAATAATTTTTAATAAAGTTTCAATAAGTATAGATATAAGTTCAATCCACATAGACTGCTCCGAAGCACCACACATTGATAAGTTCTTTTAACTTGTGTAAGATAGAGTGAAGATAAGAGATTTTAAGATAAAGAGTGGATATGTGAGTGACAATGGCTTGTGAGGATATGAAACAGAAATCCACGATTATATAGATGCAAATGATACGATTGCAAGAAAATTTAGTGTTTGCCGATCTTACGGTTTAATTTTTCGTACGTTGGAGAATTAGAATAAAAAAATCTCAAACAACCATTGTAATTTGAATGAGAAATTATTTCAAAAGTTGAAATGCGTGGGTTGGTTGAATTTATGTCACTCGAAAAATTGAGTTTAATTTGCTTAAAGATTGTAAGTTGTGCAAATATTTGGTCTTTGATGAGTGTTTGGACAAGTCAAGCAAGATATAATCATGCACTAGATATGTTAGAATCTCATAGCTAGGCTTCACTGAGGACGAGTAGGAAAAAACCAAACACTATTTTGGCCGTGCTTGCAGCGCGTAGATGTGCGCAACGAATAAAATTGCTCAACAGCTGGACGCGATGAGCTCGAGATGCGAACACACATGCTAGTGCCAAAAAGGTTCTAACCCAATGTTGAATGAGAGGCCACGTCCATAGAGGTGACTTTGACACAATGAACCCTCTAGAGATGTCATGTCCATGAGTATCTATAAATACCCTATGGTTTAAAATTCAATAACACTAGAGATGCTATATGCAAATATGAGAAATTGAAAACGAACACGAGATAAACATGATATATGCACTAAGGCATCATCACTTACTGATGTAATTAGATCTGCACTATCAAATCCCAATATGAAATCAAACATTTAGAGTGTGACTGGATATTAATTTGATTGATTTTTTATTTTTTTTAACTGTATTTATTTTTTTTTTGAAAAAAAAATAGTATAATTAACTGTTAGTGGATATATTAAAATAATATTTAATATAAAATAAATAAAAATTATTTGATGTAAAGGTAGAAGAAAAATGATTGAAAGTGATAGTTATCTAAAATTATAAAATTATGTGAGTGGATGTACAGTGAATTAAAATTGATGTGATGTGTAAGAACGATGATTGACATTATTTAATCACATTAATAATATAAATGATAGTGAAATTGGGCTAAGTTGAGTTAAATTTAAATTTTGATTGATTATTTTAATGTCGAGTTTATATGCAGTCACACCCTTAAAGCACTCCTGCGCTACTCTAGCGTAATACGCTAGAGTAGAGATAAAATTGCTCGTCAACGCTGCGCTACATCTCTGCACTACTTTAGAGTTATGAACAGTATCACGCTACATCTGGCGCGTTACTATTCATTACTCTACAATTTTTATTTGTTTTTTATTTTTTTATTATATATCTTAACATTTGACAAAGTTTTTACCATTAAATTTATAATTTAATTTGAGAATTATATAAAAATATTATTATCAAAAAATATATTTTTATATAGAATTATTATAAAATAAATCAAATATTATATAAAAATAATAATTCTTTGTAGAACACTATTTCAAACTAGTGGAAGACCAGCTAACATTATAATATATTTAATTTTATAAAATAATATGTCTAATTAAATAATATTTTGACATATTAAATAAATTAAAATAATAGAAATAATATGTGTGGAATAGAATGTAGCGCGAACGGTTGGAGACCGAATTTGATTTTTGGTTAACTCTACTCTAAAGTAGAGTAAACTCTGCACTAGAGTAGAGATAAAGACTGGAGATGGTCTTAGTACTTCTGGTTTTAGCTCGCTACGTTTTTTTTCGGTACAATAAAGGGGGGCCGAAGCCTAACGAAAGCTAAGACAAAATACAACGGGGATAAGCGACCCCAATAATATTGTGCTCAAGCCACCTACCAATTGACGGAGGTGGGATGGCCAGATGGTGCACCCCGAGGGGTTCAGACGCCGCTAGGGAAGCCAGGTGATCCGCACCGAAGTTCGCTTCCCGAAAAACATGCACCAGTTTCACTGACCAGTCCCGATCCCGTAATTCTCGTATTGCCTGAACGAGGCTGTCATGAATCCCACTCACATCCTCACGCCCCATAACCATATTAATCACGCTACTGTTGTCAGCTTCCGCCACCACCTTTCGGATGCCCAAAGACCACGCCAGAGAGAGCCCATGAAAGAGTCCCCACAATTCGGCTCCGGTAATAAAGCAATGCCAATATTCATCATAAAACCCCCGAGCCAGCGGCCCTGTGAATCACGAACCAGTCCACCCGCATAACCACAGACCATATGGGGTGAAAACGCCCCATCCGTATTCACCTTCACTCAGTCCATAGGCGACAACGACCAATGTATCAAGCGAGTTTCATACTATCGGGCTATGGGACCAAGTTTCGTCAACCTAGCGTGGGCCCAAGTACTGGTACATAACATATAACGTATGATTTATTATGTTATTTGATTTCCAAAATTGTCTAACTCTAGCGATGGAAATTCATCATCCATTGAACCATCTTGTGTTCATTTGTCATTCTTAGCTTTTTGAGTTTTCTAAAAACAAGTAAGTTCGCCGAAATATCGTATATTTGAAATACAACTTTGTACAGGATAAAAATCGTTGTATATTAGAGATGTTTATTTACAATTATGCACATTAGACAGTAACAATTTCAATTTACGGAGAGCGTGTTTTGCGTGCCTCGACTTTATTTATCTGTTTAAATTTGTTGTTCGAGGATCATATTCGTGGTTTTTGTTCATTGTTTGATCAAGTATTTATCATCATTCTCCGTTCGTATTGTTTATTATAATTCTTCAAAAGAAAAATTACATACACATATATCCAACAACGATGAGCCCATACAACATGGTATACCATGGAATACGTACGAGCAGTACAATATAAAAAAATTTAGTGAATTTCGAATTTTGTATCATATATAATTAATAAATTAAATAAAAAACACGATTTGAAACACCTTAATAAGTATCGCATAAGTAAGGACTTTACCATTTTTTTTTTATTAATCAGAAATATTTTCTATTAAGACAATTCGTATCACTGGTTCACCAATCACCATTCATTGGAATCAACCCAATGCGACAGTATTCAGTTTCACTTCAAGCACAGCGGTATCCCCTGATCTCCGCCACCAGACGCCGGAACTCAATCTCCGACGACCCGCCTTCCTCCACCGCCCTCCTCGCCGCAGCCCCCACTTCTCTCGCCCGCCGCCTCACCCCCTCCCTGCCGCCGCCCATCACTTCCCCCACCGCCGCCGCTATCCTCTCCCCCTCCACGCACTCCCCTTCCTCCAGCCTCTCGCTCCACGCCTCCGCCCCCACCGGAACCCCAAACCCCAGCACCTCCGCCACCAGCTTCTCGTTAAGGAACTGCTCCGACGTCACCGGCCACGTCACCATAGGCACCCCCGCCGCCACCCCTTCCATCAGCGAGTTCCACCCGCAGTGCGTCACGAACCCCCCCACCGCCGCGTGCTCCAAGATCTGTGCCTGTGGGGCCCACCCGCCGACCACCAGCCCCCTCCCCTGCACCCTCTCCTGAAACTCGCCGAACAGCCAGTCCGCATTTACGCTTTCCCCCCTCACAACCCACACGAATTGCCGCCCGGAGCTTTCGAGCCCCTTCGCTATCTCACGCAGCTGAGGTGTTCGAAAAAATGTCATGCTGCCAAAACACGCGTACACAACCGAGTTGGGCTCCTTCGAGTCGAGCCACCTCAGGCACTCGTTGTTCCCATCGGAATCGGCTCGCCCGCCGAAGAGCGAGACGGGCCCCACGTGCCACGTGTTCACTCCGTGGGCATCCCTATAGTGGGCCGCGTATTCGGGCTCGAGTTCGTGGAACGTGTTCACAATCATCCCAAGGCTCGACTGATCGGAATTGAAAGCCTTATTCAGCACATCGGCAAGGGGATGCTTGTTGTCTCCCGTTATGATGCTCGGGAGCTGTTTTCTCGTGATCTTGATATCACCCGGGACTCCCGGAACCACAAATTCCTCGTAATCCGAGTCGACCTTCTCGTGCGGCTTGTTTTGCCTCAGGCTCCTAAAGAGACACATGGGGAAGAAGCCCGTCCCGTAGAAGCCCACTCGAAGGATCCCGAGCTCAGTGGCCAAATCGGTGGCCCACCAGAAGTATCCTCCGGCGACTATGCAGTCCGGTCGGGCCTTCCGAAGCATGTCTCCAACGGGCTCTTGGAGAAAGTCGAGGGCTTTTAAGAAATTTATGGACATTTGTGGAGTGGTTGTAGAGGAGAGGTTTTCGCATCCCTCGGGAAGGCCCGACTCGCGGCAAGGGAACTCGACGAGGGAGATTTCGATTTGGAGGCCTTTTTCGCGGCCGAGTTCGATGGTTTGGGAAAATTGGGATGCGTTTACGGGTGTGGTGATGATGGTCGATTTCGCGCCGTGCGTTGCGAATTTCCAGGCTATGTCGATCATCGGGATCATGTGGCCGGGGGCCATCATGGGGAGGAAGAAGATGTGGAGATTGTGGGCATATGAATCCATGGTATGGCTTTTAAGTTTTTGTGTGTGTAGCATTGTTGTGTAGTGTTAGTTGGTGTTAATCTGGGTTTATTTATATACAGTGCTAGCTTTGTGATAATAGTAATACTTTAGGATATATAACACATTAAGTCAAGAAAGTAGACGTGTTTGAAGTTTTTGTAGTACAAGTTTTTCCATGATTTTGATGTGCACGTTTTATAGAAAATTCCCAGTTTGATCTATTTGGTAGTGCCAAATGCATGAATATTCCAATAGCACTCTTTTCCAATAGAAAATTCTTTTTATCCTTTCATTTTTATAGAAAGAAAGTGGTAGCAAATTTATGGGAGATAAGCAAAATTGCAGTTGGATTATCTATGGGAGATAAGCAAAACTTATGTGTAGTGAATAATTTGCCGTTTCTATCTTTGATCAATACTAGCTAGTACAACACCCGCGTATTACACGAGTGTTTGTTAAATTTTTTTTTTTTAAATTTTGAAATTAATGAGAAAAGTTAATTTAAATTATATTTATTTTTCTTACAAAATTATTGGTTGCGACCATCGGCGGTTGCGGTGGGGGAGGGCGTAGGTTCGGGTATGCGGTTGTTTTCGGCCGACAGTTTGGGGTCATTGCCTCAGGCTCTTCGGTGTTGGTCGTTGAGGCTGCAGCAGCCGACAGAGGTGGTGGGGGAGGCCGTTGGCTTAGGTCTCCTGTGGCGGGTTGGGGTGCGTGACTGTCGGCTTGATGACGGGGCTTCGTGCTCCCCGCTTCCGTTCATTCAGGTGGTTGTGGCCTTTGGGCATCGACATGCGGTTGAAGTGGCGGGGAGGGCGTTGTTCCGATCTCATGGTGCAGTACAAGGTGGTCCTTCACGGGAGGTTATGATCTGTCAGTCTGGGTCGAGTCAGCCGGGAGTTTCTCGACCATATGTTTGTGCTGGGTTGGGTCTCTTATGTTCTGCCTGAGTGCTGGTTGGGACGTGTAGTTCCGGAGTACTATTACGCAGGCGGGGAGGGCGTGTAGTTCTGAAGTACTATTACGCTGGCGGGGAGGGCGTTAGTTTACTAGTAGTTTTGTGTTTTTGTTTGTTTGTTGGCGTTGGTATTCTCTTATGTGAGAGTGATTATATTCTCCTGATGGGAGCTTTTGAGTCACATATTTGCTAGGTCTAGTGTCGGTTCAGACGACCGTCGAGTTTGTTCCCCCACTAGATTCTTCTTTATAGTTGTTTCAGTCAGCTGTTTTGCTTTATCTAGTTGTACATGTTCGTTTTTTATAAAAGTTTCGCGTTCCCAAAAAAATACAAAAAAAGAAAAGCACCAGTGGCGTGTTAAGTATTTGTGGATTTAAATAATATGTTGCACTTAATTGTATTATCTTTCATGGGGAATTTCATCCAATATTATAAGTCGTTGGAACATACATCTGTACGTGTATATCGGTTATGACCTAATGATATATAACGTGTAATCCGACGACTCAAATCTCGTTGTGGACATCCGATGGGTCGAATCATTCCTCTCTTGCCTGAGTTAAAAAGTTTGACTAGCATTTGTTTCTTCTTTTGAACTTGAGGAACAAGACATTTTGGGCTACTTGTGCACTACAATTTCTGGTGGCCTGCATTTGTCCCAATCAAGAGCTCAACTGTTTGTATTTGTTAGTGCAAAAGGTTTTGGCATTTTTTTTTCATTATTCAAGATCAATTTATTTATTATTTATTTTCCTTTTCTGATGGAAGTTCAACTGTTGAAGCACAATTTACCATTCATTTATTTTCATTTTTCTTGAAGAAGTTCAACTGTTGAAGCTCAAATAATTGCATATAACGGTAAAGGTGGGTAGAAAGAAATCGAAGT